AACATTTTCATAGATTTACAGTCCAACCAATTTTCCAAAATCCAAACACATTTCCATAGCTATTAATAGCCGTCCATTTCTTCAAATCACTAATTAATAAAACGATCACACTTTCTTCCACGACAGAAAAAGCTTCCCAAGCTGAACAATGGAGGAACCTCCTTCGGCCATGGCGGCCGCCGCCTCCAAGCTCTTCTCCTCTACCACCTTCCTCACCTCCTCCGCCTCCCCCATCAGCTCCCTCACCCGCCGCTCGACCTCCTCCGCCGCCACGAACCCATCCTCCGCCATCTCCATCCTCAGCGCCACCCTCATCTCCTCCACCATCACCGTCCGGTTCACCTTCTGCTCCGCGTACAGCGGCCACGCCACCATCGGCACTCCCGCCCGCACCGCCTCCAGCACCGAGTTCCACCCGCAGTGAGTCACGAACCCGCCCACCGATCCGTGCCCCAGCACCGCCACCTGCGGGGCCCACGACTTCACCACCAGGCCCCTGCCCGCCGTCCGGTCCAGAAACCCCTCCGGCAGGAGCGATTCCAGATCCGGCTCCGGCGGCGGAAGGAATCGTCGGCTCTCGTCGCCGCTCGGCGGCGATCGGACCACCCACAGGAACCGGTGGCCGCTTTTCTCCAACCCTATCGCGATTTCCTTCAATTGGGCCTCCGAAAATAGGCCCAAACTGCCGAAGCATAAGTAGACCACGCTTTTACTGGGCTGCTTATCGAGCCAGCCCAAGCATTCGTGGGCTGGGCCGCTTGTACTCCTGTCCTCGGATGCAAGAAGCGGCCCAATTGTAAAAACCGGCGGCGGAGCCGGCCCGTCCGGATTGCACTCGCCTTCTCTTATCGATTTCAGAGACCTAACCTCCAAACTCTCGAATGTGTTGAGAATTATTCCATCCGAACTCGATGAGCCGAGAGAACATTCTAGAAACTTCCTGTAGTCGAAGGTCTCCCGATCAAGAAACGGCAACGGCATGTCGGAAGGCGGGAAAGGCGGCAGGCCCGGGAAATCGAGGAGCGTGTCCTTCATGTCCTTGAAGCTCACGGTGGTGGAGCGGTTGACTTCCGGAAAGTGGAGGCATAACGCCAGCGCGGTGGCGCCGGAGGTGCCGAAGTAGTAGGTCGGGATCCCGAGCTCGGCGGCGATGGGCTGGGAGGAGACGCAGAAGAAGTCGATGATGAAGGCGGAGATGGCGGGGCCCACGGCGGAGATGGACTCGAGGGCGCGGCGGACGTGGGGGTCGCTGAGGCGGAGGGTCTCGAAGATGACGGCCTCCATGGAGGGGAAGGACTGGAGGTCGAGGTTGACGGCGGGAAGGTGGTGGAAGGTGATGGAGGGGACAGCGGAGGAGACACAGCGGATGTAGGCGGCGGTGGAGCCGGTGTTGAAGGAGGGAGGGGCGGTGAGGATGGTGACGGCGGCAGATGGGTGGTGGCGGAGGATGAGTTTTCCGAGCTCCACCATCGGGATGAGGTGGCCCATGCCTGGAGATGGGTAAAGAACTATTGTTTCCATTTTCTTTCTTTCTTTTTCTTTTATTTATTTCTGCATTTTGTTTAAAGATGGAAATGTCTATTTAAAGTGTGTGACATAAAGGCAAAGTGATATAATAAAATTATATAAAGTAGTGTACTGTGCGACCAACTTCNTATTATTTATTTATTTATTTTAGTTTAGAAGATTAGTGGAAATTTGATTCCCTGCAATCATGCTACCACATGTCAAATTTATTTTATTTCATTAATATGGACGTGAAATATATAAAAAGGAAAAAAAATTTACCAACCTCAACTTTGGAGACTGGGTTTGCAACCTAATCCTTTATTTTTGATAAATTGCAACCTCAACTATACGTTATTGATAAATATCAACTTCGGCCATCGAATTGACGGAGCTTAAGGGTAAAATTGTAACTTTATCTCATATCATACTAGTAATATATCATTCCTCCCCAATTTCTTGAATCTCATATTCTGATTTTCCTCAATTTCGCGATTTCTCCAATTTCGAAACCCTAAACCTTTGATTCTTCATCGAAGTGGTTTGGAAAATTCGTGAGCAACGCATGACTATGACAACTAATAGATTCTTCCCGTATTACGGTAAGTTTGTTGCACTTAATTTATTAAACAATGTTGACACTTTCTGGGATGGTTTAGGGATTTGATGTTTTCAGTTTTTTTTTTTCTTTCTGATTTTTTTGCAAGTGTTAACTAGCAGCTATTTAGTATTAGATTTTCATCACAATGGTTCATTTGTTAATTATAGCAGCAGAAAAGAGTACATTGGCCGAAATGTAGCTATAGCTCATATTGATTTTTGTGACCCTGATGAAATATATATAAACATTAGAAAAATTATGAATATCAATAGTTAGGATTCTTACGAATTGGGGAAATTGGAAGCAGATTGAAGAATTGGGAGAATGATATATTTATATAATGATATATAAGATAAGATTACAAGTATATCCTTACAAAAGTTGCCAGCTCCGCCGCTTAAGGAGTTTTCCGGCCAATTTCGGTGGCCGAGGTTGGTATTTATTAATAACGTATAGTTAGGGTTGCAATTTATTAAAAATAAAAGATTAGGTTGCAAATCCAAAAAGGCCCCAAAGTTCAGGTTGATAAAAAAAAAAATTCCCTATATAAAATAATTTCTATACTCTTTGCAGGAGCACGCAGATTTTATGGACAATGGGGACACAAATTACAGTCAATGGTCAACCTTGGATGTCAACGGTCAAATCAATATTTAATCAATTAAAAAAAATTAAAATATTAAATCTTGACCAAATACATTTTTTCTTATGTAATAGCTAGAATTGAGTCTCACGTTTTAATTTCAAGAATAGGAATACATTTGTCCAACTCCTATATAGTATATACGTTTATGTAGAATACTTGTATTTTATGTATTTTGGAAGGAAAAAAGAAAATAAACAAGAAGTTGAGTATAGCACAAGCATAAATTTCACAACTTAAAAAGTAACATACTGGTCAAATAATTGTAAATATTTTCTTTTTATGTTTTATATTGAAATAATTCTACATAATAATTAAGAACGTGTAATTTTTTATGTCAATATAATAATACATTTATACATATAATATATATATATATATATAATCAATGAAAGAAATAAGAATAAATCATAGCCATTCAATCGGATAATCTAATGGCTATAAAAAAGACAAAATATTATACTCATTAAGGGTATTTAGACATTACCAATACCATCCACTTATCCAACTCATTAGTGGACCCATGACACATCATCACCAAACCCACAAAACACACGCCACGCACACATAAAACACACGCCACATAACACAACGCACACGCACACACACTTCAGCAGACACACACACACAATACATACACACAATTTATATACACAACACACACACTACACACATTGTATATACACGACACACACAAACACATTACTAGTCACTGCCGGCCGCCACCCTGCCCAGCCATCGCCGCCGCAGCATGCCATCACCGGTCGCCGAAGCCCACTGTGACGCTGCCGCCGCCGCCGAAGCACGCTGAAACGCAGCCTTCGGAGCCCGCTGATAGACACGCACGAACAGGACGGCTGCGGCACCACCATCCCACAGATCGACCTCCATCATCTGCCGACGACTTCAATCTCTCCATCGCCGTTCTACTCGACGCCGTCGACTGTCACTTCAAACGCCACCGTCTGGTCCGGCGCCGGAGCTCTAGTCACCGTCGTCCTCCGTCCGTCGGTAATTAACCGTGACGTCTATGTCACTTCCTCCGCCACAGAGCTCCGTCGTCTGCAAGTGTAGAGGGTGAAGACGCCTCAAGCCCGCCACATTCACCATCGTGGTCGTCATTCCTTCCTGTCGTCGTCGCCGTCGCCGTCGCCGTTCGTCCGTCGTCCACCATCGGATAAGAGGTCACCGGCGGCAAGTAAAGGGGGCTGAGGTGGCAGAGAGAACATGATTTGATATTGAAATTGGGGAGTTTGTTTTTGAGAATTTGATATCTTATAGGGGCTTGATTGCAATTCTCATAGATTTCAATAAATTACAATTTAGTTCATGTGTTGAATTTGTAGTTTTTAGAAATTTTTAAATCTAATATTGTAAATTTAATAATTTTATTTATATTTAAATTTAACACTTGTGTGTCAAATTTGTAATTTACAAAAGTTATATAAAAGTATACTATTTTTATATATATTTTAAAATCATAAAATAATATAAAAATATTAAATACAAATAAGATAAAATATTAATACATTATTGAACATAGTGCACATTATTGACCGACGAGTTGCATTTTTGTGTTAGTGAAATTGCACCTTAATATAATAAATGCACGGTCATGTTAATTAGATTAATAATATAAAATACTAAGTACAAAAATTATAAATACTAAATATATTTTTACGACATAAAAAATTTGATAAATGCAAAAAATAAAAATAATTGAAACACACATTATTGAAGTTAATGAATTTGAAACACATAAAAAATACTCGATCTGTCGATTGCACAATAATGTTAGACAAATTACACATTGTTGTTTGCTCGATTGCACTTTATAGATTTGATATCTTTTATATTATATTTTCAACTATAAAATATTATAAATTATTAAATATACATATTAAAATAAAAAAATATATTTTATAATATCCATAGTAATATAAAATATTTTGTAATAATAAATAAATTATAATAAAAATAATAAATAAAAAAACTATTTTAATTGTTTAGGTTAGTTCAATGTACAATTATACACATAATTTATAAAATAGACATTGCACTTTATATTATGGAATGTCGCACCTTATAAAACAATATGTTGCACTTTATCATATCGTTTATCTAAAAAAACATAAAATGCTAACGTACCAAAAATAATACGTTGCACTTTTTACAGTAATACGTTGCACCTTATAACACAAAATGTTGCACCGTATACAGTAATAAGTTGCAATATAGCGATCAAAACAGTCCAAATTAAAAATCTCAATTAATTCAAGTATTACCCATGAACTTAATTGTAATAAACTAAAAATGTTTACAATTGCAGATAGGCCCTTATATGATATATAATTTTCAATACAACAACCTCAAATACACCAACATTTTCCGGCCGCCCCCCTGCCGTTCAAGCCGCCACCGCCGGCAACTGTGAACAGCCCTGCCGTCGGATGACACATCATCACTTCGCTGCTTCGGTGTAACAACAATGGAAGAATTGCACAAAGTCCCGTCGGCTATTCAATCTCGACGGAGGTTTTCGAATCGTGACCACTTGACCGCGTCCGGTGAATCGACGTCGGACATAGCTGCCTGATGCGACTGAACGTGGGAGACGGCGGATCTGTGTCGGGCTGGTGAGGACCGGCTGTGGCGGAGACGCCTTCACCGGCGGATCTGTGAAGTGATGTCGGGAGGCTAATTGGTTGCGGATCTGGGAGAGATGAGGAACGATTTGGTTTTGTCCGGCGGAGGTCAGTGATGTCGGGAGGCTAATCGGTTGCGGGAGGCGGCGATTGTGGCGGCGAGCCGGCGAGTGAGTGTGTGTGTGTGTGTGTGTGTGTGTTGAGGATGACGAGGGAGGGAGTGGGTGGGACATAAACGGCAACAGGGCTGTCGACGGCGGCAGCTGAAGAAGGCGATGACGGAGGCGGTGCTGACGGGCGGGGGGCGGTGACTGACGCGCAGAGGTTGTGACGGGAAGGTGTGTGTGTGTGACTGTGTGTGTGTGAGAGAGAGAGAGAGAGAGAGAGAGAAAGATGGCAAGATAGGAAGATGGAAGAGAGAGATCTGATTTGTATATGAGGTGTGGGTCTCACTGATTTTGGGTGTATGGTGAATTACGTAAATATCCCCGGATGTAATTATTTGTCCATGGATATATGTATTTACGATTTTTCCATTAATGAATTGACCATTGTTCTTTAATTTTGATTTAATTATGTTCATTGATCGTACCGATCGAATGGTTTATAATCATTCTTATTTCTTTCACTATCTACCATTCTCATGTGATCCCATCTCTCTCTCTCTATATATATATATTACCAAAAGTTCTACAGGGCCCATAACATAGATCCGCCCATTGTATTCAAGGGAAATTACTCACATGCCCACGATGGACACATGTTAATATGTCCACCGCTGATGTGGCATGCACACATTAGTGATGTTAATATGTTAAAAAATACATCACCAATGTGTGCATGCCACATAAGTCAGTTGACATATTAACATGTGTCCACCGTGGGCATGTGAGCATTCCCCTTATATGCAAATAATTACGTAAAGGGCGGCTTACGTTATGGTATATGCATATTAAATCTGCATATATAGTTTATATAAGTGAGTCGTAAATGAGTCATTGAGTATATTAATTATAAAATTTTGTGATTTTTGTTAAGATATTTTAATCTTTCAACAACTTATTAAATTGTATATTATATTAGTCGTCTGCTAAATAAGTTTATTGGGTATATTAAATGATAGGGTAAGGCTACAATTCCGTTACGTAATTATTATGTTGGGAGTTGTAATAGTTAGATGACATGTAAATTAGAACTCATGTGCATCTAACGGTTACAAATCCCAACGAAATAGCTCCTTAACAAGATTGTAGTATTTTCTTAAATGATAACCACTGTAAGTAAAATGAAAAAAGAAAAAAAAAAAACTAAAATAAACGAATGGACCTAGAATTGGTCAGCAAATCGTTGGAATACTAGTTATTTAGGAACCGATTAGAACCGACCACACCGGTGTAACACTGTAACTTCATTCAAACATAATTTTAATATATTTAAAAATATTTGTAAAAAAATACATATTTAAATATAGATGGATATGTATGTATAGATACACATTGTGACTGTTTAAAGTTGTCTAAATATTTAATAATATATTTATATGTAAAACTATTATTTTAAAATATTATATATATTTAATATTATTCATAAATTTAAATACCAGTTTAACCACTAGTTCAACCATTCAACATGTAACTTAAACAGTTTTGACGACAAATCCAATTCTTAAATATTTTTGAATTAATATAATATATTATCTATAAGAAGATACATTTTTTTAACGTTGAAAACTTTGCAATACATATTTTACAGGTCACAATATGGAAAGGACAAATCCCGTGATTGATCGAGTTTCATATTATTTCTGATTTAGATGGTTACTTCTCACCTAATCCTTGAAAGACTAAATTCCATACGTGATTACGATTTGCCTAATAAATATTTAATGGAGCACGGCTTATGATAGGTCCGTTGAAAGTTATTTGCTAATGGTGCGAATATATGTATCCAATAGAATGTGAACATATCAGTTGTTAGTATACAATAGTGCTTTTTGACAATACTAAATGTGGATCCATTGCATTTATCAAGGGTTGGTTGAATAGTCAACACAATGGAGAATCAAGTCTGTGAATATCTCTCTCTTACATATAAGAAAAAGTATGAGGGATTCTATACGTGACACGTGGCGATTTTTTCTGTCTAAAATAGACCCAATTTTGCCCCCTTTTTACATCTGTTGCCACTGCAATTTACTACTTACCAAGAAAAGACCACGCCGTATTCAAGGATTTTGCTCCTGAATATCTGCTCTTCGTACCTGCGAATAGACATTTGCGCTTGCGTGGTTGATCACCTTCCGGGATTTGCGGTGTGTTATGGTCAAATTGTCAGTGTGGTATTGTTAAATCCAAACCCAAACCAAACACGCAACCCTGATGTCCTCTCCAATTTCAACCTGTAAGATCTGCCATTTTATTTTTATCTCTGAATTTTAAGCCCAGCCAAACCCAAGATCTGCCCTACCACCACCACCACCACCACCACCACCTCAGCCCTTTGCAGTCATCGCAAACACCGCACGTCATCCAGATCGGATCACACCGAACGCCTCCATCGCGAAGTATTCAACCCCTCTATCGCGAAGTATTCAACCCGTCCACCCTAAACCCAGAGGCCGTCCCGCGAGAAAATCACTCGGCCAGGTAATCTTTTAGTGCCATAAAATCAATAGAAATGGCTTCTTCTCACTGTAACTAATTCTGGAAGAGGGTCTGATCTACCTCTTCATCTTCGTCGTCGAGAGTCTACAATTACAGACTGAACAAACGTCGTTTACAGTTTCACCAGTACCAGGTGATCGGAAGAGCTTTGCTGACCGAGGCCGACGAGCACCCTACCGGATGAAGCTATGGGCGACCAATGAGGTCCGAGCCAAGTCGAAATCCTGGTAATTATTTGCGCCTCTGATTTTCATGTAAAAATTATTGTTTTCTTTGTATTTCGTGTTGTGGTGGTAGATTCGTAGCTCGAAGTTTATGAGGTGACTTTGACCACTCCTTTTCCTCATTTTTAAGCATCTTAATGATTTGTTGATAACTTTTATGATGCATAGCTTAATGGTTCTTAGTTTAAGCTTTAGTTAGATAAGAAACTTGGGAAATTCTGGGAGTATTAATATTTGGGAATTTGGGGCAAAAGATTCCTCATTTCGTATTATAATAATAGTTCATATTTTTGCTCATTTTGGGAAGTTTAAAATTCTGGAATTATAATTGATGGTTTCCGTAAATAATATTTTTTAGTAGCAAGGGGAAAATAGATTTGTGGTAGTAAAAGAATTTTTTATCACTTTGTCCAACCAATGAAGTAGCAGCTGCCATAGTTGAGCAGAAAAAAGGGAAAAAAATGGGCTTCTAATCACGGAGGACTTGATCAGGTGCATTTCTAGGTTTCTATTTGCTAAGTTTGTAATAATGCATTTGGAATGGAATCTTCCTTTAGTATTACTAACATTATATTGCCATTTCTTAAACGAAATGAATTGTTGCAGCCCGTCATGATTGATAGAATAAGAGATGCAGGGAACAATCTCATCTTGTTATTAGTTTTTGTTCAGGTGGCAACTGCTCTCATTATTCGAATCTTTTGTTTTTATAGCTGAGGATTATGTGGTCTGCATCTTGTAATTTAAAATATAGAAGTTGTGTATTGACATGATAAAATGCTCTGCAAATGATATATTGAATGAAGTTCATCAATCACAACTTATGTTTGTAGTTAAGCAGTTTCAAGGGTTGACATCTGAAAAGAATCTCATATTTTCAGAAGGCAACCAAATGTTAATGGGGGTTTTTGTAATTTGGAAAGATATATAAACTTCAAACCAACCTTTGGTGTTCTTTTCAGTAACTAAGCCATAATTTTATGTTTTGGTTTTAGTTATATATGATATTTGACCTCTAAACAATTAAATAAGGCCTCCATGTTTCGTTCTATTTCATCATTGCAGTAAATCTAAGGATCACTTGCCTGTTGCGCCCTTAGTCTCGAGGTAGACCTCTCCTCCAGCAAGAATATCTCTTCTCCACGACATTTTAATGGTCTAATGGCGAGTTTAAAGGTTCTGCAAAATGGCGCCTCGTGGCGTGCTCCCGATAGCTCAATGTCGAGTCCCTATAGAAGTTCGACGAGGGCCTCTGGCTATGAGAAAATTTCGAGCGTAATTTTTACTGCTGGACACTCTATCCAGATTTTCCCTTCCTCAATTCTGGTCAATGCTCCAATCCAGGCTCAGGCCAGCTAGAGGACAAATATCCCCACTGAAACATTAAAATATCTACAGAGAGACCTGTACAGAATTTTCATGCAAAATAGAAAGTTTGAACTCAGTCAAAAAATATATCTATTATATGTATATCTTTATTATGTAAAAAAGAGAATCTAAATCTACATATGCATACCATACATCACTACTATATTCGTTTTTTTTTTTATCCCAATAGAAAATATTTTTTGGCTGCAGGTCAGACGTCCGGCCACAATTCGATGTGTCCGGGCAATTATTCTGGCAGCCCAGTCAAGGAAGCCCAGAAATTTCTCCAATCCCCTCTCGAGGAATGACGAGTGCTGAACCTACCTCCAGAATCCACAGTGGTTCCGTAACACCACTTCATTCTAGAACTGGAGGAGGGTATTCCAAATCACAGAGCAACTGTCTTGAGGATGCAAGACAACAAAGCCACCGTTTGCCCTTACCTCCCATAACCATTTCCAACGCCTCACCTTTTCATCAGCAGAGTTCAGCTGTTCTGTACCACGAAGTCCTGGACGAGCTGAGAATCTTGCCAGCCCTGGCTCACGTTGGAAAAAGGGGAAGCTTCTTGGTCGAGGCACATTTGGACACGTTTATGTTGGTTTTAATATGTAAGGGAGCATCCCGTCTAAATGGATGAGTATCATAGATTTATTTATTTATTTATTTCTTTTTGTTTATATATGTTTAAGTAGTTCCTGATGAATGGGTTTTAATTGTTGTTGGTTTCAATGAAACTGGTGAAATGTGTGCAATGAAGGAGGTTAATTATTTTCTGGTGATGCAAAGTCCAAGGAAAATGCGAAGCAGTGGGACAAATGAGTCTTTAGTCATTAGATTTGTGGGGAGGCATATTCTTTGTAAAGATGTATAAGGTCATATTGTTCTTTCAAATGCTATCAGGAAGTGCAATCTCCATAGTACTGAACAATATTAGGCAGGAAGTGCAATCTCCATAGCACTGAACAATATTAGGACCTCAGCTACTGATTACTATATTTCCAACATACATGAGGACCTCAGCTTCTTTGTGACTGACCGTTTCAGATCCATAGTACTGAACAAGTGAGTCTATTGATTACTTTATCTCCGACATACATGAGGACCTCAGGTATTCATCATACACTATCCAGTAATTATTTTAATGCACTTTTAGGGTCAAGGATATTGATTGGTTTTCTGCATTTGATATCCTTTTTTATTTCTTATAATTCATGATGAATTGATGATATGGTTTTGGATATAACAGGGCAATCTTGTCCCTTGTCTTTTAAGGGTAGTCCTTTCTGGATGGCTCCTGAGGTTAGTATCTTTAACTTATAAATTATGGTTTGAGCCTTTCTTTTTTGTCCTCTTTCTACTTCTTTGCAGGTTAATCTTTTTTTTTTTTTTTTTTTTGTTCTTTTTTCTTTCCCTCTATTGTCACATACATGAGTTGTTTTTTATCTACTTACGACAAAACTGATAAAAATCAATAACGTGGAGCTACGAACAACCAAGCAACGGGGAGAGTTTTGTGACTCTTGTTCAAAGGACCAACTAGAGGACTAACTATTAGAACGAATCTTGAGGACTTTAGGGACGAAAGGTATATCAACATAAATATACATTTGATTTTGGTTGAGAAACATATTTCTCACATTGACCTTAATGATCTCATCAGCTTGCAGACGTATATGATTGCTGCTTTGACCAACAAGGACACGTGGACTACGATCGTGGACGACTACTGAAGGCAGATATGTGCGACCGGGTGTGGTGAGGGATTTCGTTGCTTAACGTATAACCAATGAAATTTTGTGGATTTCCGAACTGATTTAATTGGGCCTTTTGCATTTTGCACTCTTTGACAAAATTGCTAATAAAATCCATTGGATATTTGTGGGCATTTTCATTGTTGTACCATGTTGTATAATTATGTTTTCATTTGATACTTTTATATTTCTCTTTCACCAGTAGGGAAATCAAATTTCTCAAAGAATTTAAGCATAAAGGAATTTCTCAAATTTATTCTTCCTGTTGACTACCAAATGGATATAATTATGGGAAAGAAAATTATGCAAGGTCACAAACGTCAAGACTTTATAAATGAAAATAACATTGTTGAAGGGCCAGTCTGCGAGTTCACGCTCATACCGCATGAAGGAATTGCTTTCAAGGTTCAAATTTAATCCAAGTTTATGTTGCTATGTTGGGTAGATTGTTAGGTTAATGGTAATCTCTTGCTTTTAAACACAACTTCTAGGGTATTATGGTGAAATAAACGTTTTCTTTTGACGTTTATGGTGATTGTTGGATATTTTATCATGTTGTGGTACTCTTACTTTTATGATGGATTCATATGAAGTAGTTTTAATCTATTTTTAGAAATGCCGACAAATGTATATATGTCTACACTTCCAATTGGGCAAATATATGTATAAAGTATTAAGGTTGGAAGCATTTTTAGTAATAATTTTTAAGGTTGACAAAAAAAATCAATATTTTACAATTATAGACTAAATTCGGTCCGGCTGTGCGTGCACAGCCAAGTGCCCACTAGTCTCTAGAGAAGATTTTCCTTGACTGACATTATTATTATTTCTCATGGAACTTGACATAATTTCATTCTATTCCACTGGGGACGTGTGTGTGTGCACGGGTGTAGTGAACCTCGTAAGACTATTCTTATCCCCAACCCAACCCAACCTAATAATTAAAAATTGTTTCTCTCTTCTCCACCTACACAACTCAACCTTACAACTTAATTTATCTTTATCCCCAACCCAACTCAACCTAAATATTTATTTTATTTTAATTTATTTAAAAATTACAATTTTATTCCAAAATATATCAAGTGTGGTCTCTATTTGTAGAGAATGAAAAAATACGAATTTTAATATTATTTTTATTTTTTTTAAACAAAAAAAAATACACTTATCCAATCAAAATAGGACAAATGTCCCATACTCCAAACACTACACGGGTCGCGACCCAAGGTCACAATGTGACCTCGGTCGCTCATTTTTTGTGACCTTCCTTGCTTTTCTTTTTTCTTTTTATATATTTTTTGTTTTTTTAATTGGTGACCCAACTCATGGGGTACCGTTAAAGATAGTCTAAGTTTTGGGATTGTTGGAAATTAGAGTCTTAATTCTGTGCATTTTAACTTTGTGGATTGTATCCGTTTTTAATTAGAAGTTTAAATCTTGTGTGAGTAGTATCAAACGGTTAGGCAGATGAACTCGTCGTATATATGAATAAATATGTTATGAAATACTATATTTTTATCCATGTATATGTGAAAGTTTTAGAGCATTCAGTATGTTAAGGGACAATTTTGAACCCAATACTCAAAGATAACATTTTTCCTTTCCTTGGCACGTTTGAACCCGTCATAGTCATGGGCAAATAAACTTTGACAAACTTTCATTTCAGGTTTTTTAAGCACATTTTTCTAACTTTTAAGGGGGTGATTGGATATGAATTCAACTAGTAAAAAACTAATTTTTTTTAACTATAGTTAAGTTTTAAAAAAGTAGTATGGTTAGTTGTTAGTGGATATATTAAAATAATATTTAAATTAAAATAATTAAAGTTGATTTGATGTAAAAGTAGGAAAAATGATTGGAAGTGATAGTTAGTTAAAATTATGTGAGTGAATGAATGGTGAATTAAGATGTGATGTGTAATAATGATTGGTTGACATTATTTAATTATATTGATAATATTAGAGATAGTAGAGTTGAGTTAAGGTTGAGTTAAATTTGAGTTTTGAGTGAGATATTTACTGTTGAAATTATATACAATCATACCCTAAGCATTCAGTGTGTTAGTGCTTTTAATTAATGAAAAGATCCACTCGCGGGTTTGACTTGAGTTCAACTCGTTAATATTGACAACGAACTGAGCTCAAGCTTGATTATCAGCTCATTTAATTAATTTCAATTTGATAAAGTATCACGTTCGAGATCAAGAATTAGAAACTTCAGCCCGACTTATCCCGTATTCCTGCCATACCCATGAGTGACCTGACATGAGATTATCTTCTGTCACTTGATGAGTTGTCTTCATCTACAGGTTATCTATCAAATTAAATATAAAATTAAGACCACATTACGAAACACATGTTATTATTCGTTCGCTTTATTGGATGAATAATACGTGTAGATAGATGTATAATAAACGAAATAAGATTGGAATATAAAATCTCACTCCTTCATACTCCGTAATTAAATATAATTTTTTATTGCATAATTTGCCTACTAATGCAACATTCCTTTGTGTGCTGACAATCATCCCGTAAAATCTATATTCAATGACTTACTTATATTAAAATCGTGAGATACTCCAAAAAATTCAAAAAATCAAACATTTTATGTTTCTTTTGAAAATTGCTAGAGAAAGCTGAACATAATTACCTCAAACTATATAACCCTGTTGAAAATATAAGGAAGAAGACAAAAAAAGAAAACGTAACTATGATGATTGACAGAAACTGGGGGAAATGGGTGCTGACCCACTACCATGAAAGACACCATGAAAGAAGGGAAAAAGAAGCCCAAATGGGGTTCCATCCCAAAACCAATTGGTGGAAGGAGGAGTAGCCCATTAGTCTTATAAGGTGGGTCTATTTTCCATATAGGAACGATGTGAGACAACTCACAAGTGATATTCTAACAATGATAAAGAAGAAGATGAAGAAAAAAAATTCTGAAAATTAATTTATTATTATTAATATTCTCATTATCATTATTATTCGCTCCAATTGAAGCATTTTTATAAAATTAATTAGCTTAAAGATGTATATAAAAACATTAATGATGTATTTATTTTGAAGTTCACAAATTTTTGGCAGATCAATATCTATATATAAAAGAATAGGTTTTAATTTATTGAAATAGAGGTTTTTCCGTTAAGAAAACCTTGCTTACTTGATAAGGATTTTTTTTAGAAAAATGTTACATGTACATAATAAATGTACATGGAGGTGTACATAACACTCACAATGAGTGGAGTTCACTTAATTTTTTTATTTTTTGTGAGTCCCATTAAATATGAGTGTTATGTACATTTTTTTTTTAACATTCTTTTTTACTTTTTTTTATTATATTTTCTTTTGGTGATTTTCTCTTTACCACAGGGGGTAAGACTTTTTTTTTATTTTATTTTCTTTTGGTGATTTTCCGGTCCATATATAATTTTTTTTATATTTTTTTGTTTTTTAAAAATAAAACTATGTATATATGTTTATATGGTAAATATTTATTATGAGATATATATATTACTAACACTTTAATGTACAAATTTTATAGACAAAATAATTAATTTTGTTCCTTTTATGTATATTTATATGACAAAAACACTCTATATATAATTTTAAAATTTTAAATTAATTATTTAGTTCAACAATTGACTCAGTGACCCGACGGTTGCACCAGTGACCCGAGGACCTGCCCGAGTCGATTATCGGGCCGGGTTTAAAAACTATGTTTAACGCTGATTAAAAGAGGTGAATAATAAATGATAACCTTATTGTTTTTCAACTTAAACGGACGTAGCCTGTGAACATAACTTATTTAATATTTATGTCCCGTGCACAGGGTACTTACTAGTAAATTATTATTGTAAAACCCAGCCCAAATCCAATACACGACTTTCTACAATCTCTCAAGTCTCAACACGCTTTTATTTTCTGTTTTGAGAAAACCCGAAAGGGCCACAACAGACGGGCGGCTGGTGAGGTGAGCTGCTCTAAACCCTAATCTCTCAAGCCTTTGCGACGGACGACGGTGAACGGCGCATCTTTTATCCGGAGACGGCGGCGAGGAAGCGAGAACTTCGAGACCGGTGTGCGGCGATTGCGAGGAAGCGAAACATTCGAGCGGCGAGCAGCAAGGCAGCGGCACAAAGAGCTGCGAGACCGGTAATGATGGCTGAATCTGAAAAGCTTATTGATTAATCTTGGTTTATTGTGTATGGTAGAAAATTTCTTTTGCTTCCATTTTTTGTGCCCAGTTTGTGGATTTGTGCCTTTTTTTTTTGGTTGCTCCCAGACCCCAGTTTGTGGCTTTGTATTGNTGGGCGGGGGCCGGCCCGCCTAGCACGCGGCCCGCGGCGGGGTTGGGCCGGGCTGCCCTTTCACAGGCCCGTCGGGGACCTGCCCCGCCAAACAGCGGGTTTTGGCGGGCTACTGGCCAACCCGTCCGTTGGCCTGTTTTGAGTCTAATTATATGTTATTTATATAATATATAAATGTTACATATTTATAAGTATGACCATCGCGTAGTACCACTCCTAAATCATTTAAAAAAGTAATTTACTGAGAAGATAAAAAATTAAAACTAATTCGTACGAAACCATTTATAAATTAATATTATAACAAACTATAACCAATACATGAGTTAAATTTATGGCAAAACCCTTTAAAATTCATTGGCAAAACGCAAATGTAGCAAGCATAAATTATTAAACTTATCTAGTTTCATCTTTGTAATTGAAACTTGTTATAGAAGTAAATGTATTGTAGTCACTAGTCATGATTAGGATAATAATACAATACCTATGCTTATTTTTTTAGTTTTTCTTTTCCTGTTATATATACACTAGTTTTTAACCCGTGCATTTGCACGGAAAGCAATATAATAGAATAAAAAATAATAAAAAAATATAAACAATAGTAAAAACCATAATATAATCATTGAAAAAATATTCTAAGAAAGAATAACTAAATATTGTTAAACAATTCTTTCTATGTAACGTTTGTGGTTTTTCTATCAACAGAATTTCTATCACTACAAATCACTATCTTCAAATTAAGACATATAATGGTTTTGTTTGTTTAAATAATTATTGTATTTTGTACTATAGATCACATAGGAAATTTAAAAAAAAAAATACTAAAAAAATACCAGCAAAATATTACAAAATAAATAATTATATTTGGTTGATAAATAATGATATGTGCCAAATATTTAAGACATTTGAACAAAATGACAATTTTGGGGTCATAAAGAAATGTATTGATTGAATGATAAAAAAAGCTCAAATTAAAAGTGCACTTAATTTTTTAGGATAGCAAAATCATATATAAAACAGGTTAATGATAACATGACTATAAATAGAGATAAGCTCCTTGAGAGTGATACAACAACAACAACAACAACATAGCCTTTAGTCCCAAGCAAGTCGGGGTAGGCTAGAGATGAAACCCAAGGGAAACACAAAAAAGACTCGAACCAAAAGGAAGAGATCGGAAGAAAGAAAAAAAAAATAATAATAATAAAAATAAAAAAAATAAAATAAAATAAAATAAAATAAAATAAAATAAACGGAAGAGAGAGAGAGAGAGAGAGAGAGAGAGAGAGAGAGAGGAACAAAAGTCACGGTTCTGGCACGTTGATAGCGAGCCTCCAAGCGCTCCTATCCACCGCTAAATCCTTGGATATATTCCAATCTTTAAGGTCTCTCTTAACCGACTCTTCCCAAGTGAGTTTAGGCCGACCTCTACCTCTCTTAACATCCTCGACCCGCTGTAGAACTCCCCTACGCACCGGTGCATCAGGAGGCCTCCATTGGACATGTCCGAACCACCTCAGCCGATGTTGAACCAACTTCTCCTTAATTGGAGCCACCCCGACCCTATCTCGAATATCCTCATTCCGAATTCTATCCCTTTTTGTGTGCCCGCAGAATCAACGCAACATACGCATCTCTGCTACACTTAGTTGTTGGACATGTTGCCTTTTTGTAGGCCAACATTCAGCACCGTATAGCATCGCCGGGCGAATCGCCGTCCTATAGAACTTACCTTTTAGCCTTTGTGGCACCCTCTTATCACAGAGAACGCCCGACGCCTGACGCCATTTCAACCAACCGGCTGCAATTCTACGCCTAACATCCGCATCAATGCCGCCATCCTTTTGTAGCATCGATCCCAAATACCGGAAAGTCTCCTTCTTGGCCACCACTTGCCCGTCAAGGGTAACGTCACCATCATCATGTGAAGCCATGCTGAAAGCGCACGTCATGTACTCGGTCTTCGTCCTACTAAGTCTGAAGCCTTTCGACTCTAATGCATCCTTCCACAGCTCCAACTTCTTATTTACCCCTGCTCTACTCTCGTCAACTAGCACCACATCATCAGCAAAGAGCATACACCAAGGGATATCACCTTGTATGTCCCTTGTGACCTCATCCATCACCAAGGCAAATAGATAAGGGCTCAATGCTGACCCCTGGTGTAGTCCTATTTTAATTGGGAAGTCGCTGGTGTCGCCCCCACATGTTCGGACACACGTCATCGCATCCTTGTACATATCCTTGATGAGGGTAATGTACTTAGATGAGACTTTATGCTTTTCTAAGGCCCACCACATGACATTTCTCGGTACTCTGTCATAAGCCTTCTCAAGGTCGATAAAGACCATGTGCAAGTCCTTCTTTTGGTCCCTATATCTCTCCGTCAGCTGTCGAATTAGGAAAATCGCCTCCATGGTCGACCTTCCAGGCATGAACCCAAATTGGTTTTGGGTCACAGTCGTCACTCGTCGTAGGCGATGCTCGATAACCCTCTCCCAGAGCTTCATCGTATGACTCATCAACTTAATCCCACGGTAGTTACCACAGCTTTGAACATCTCACTTGTTCTTGAAGATCGGTACTAAAGTACTTCTCCATTATCAGGCATCTTGTTTGACCGGAAAATGAGGTTAAAAAGTTTAGTTAGCCATGTTAACGCTCTGGCGCCCAAGCATCTCCACACCTCAATGGGGATACCATCAGGGCCCATTGCTCTACCTCCCTTCATCCTCTTCATAGCCTCTCCGATCTCTGCCTCCCGAATTCTTCTCACCACGCGTCTATTGGTATCCTCAAGTGAGTCATCCAATTGCAGGGTAAGACCCTCACTCTCCCCATTAAACAATTTGTCGAAGTACTCTCGCCATCTGTCCTTGATCTCCCCATCCTTCACCAGTGGCCGATCCGACCCATCCTTAATGCATTTGATTTGGTTGACGTCCCTTGTCTTCCTCTCCCGAATCTTAGCCATCCTATAAATGTCCTTCTCCCCCTCCTTCGTGCCTAGGCGCTGATAAAGGTCATCATAGGCCTGACCCTTCGCTACACTCACGGCACGCTTTGCAGCCCTTCTCGCTATTTTATAGTTCTCAGTGTTGGTTGCACTCTTGTCAAGGTGGAGGCGCTTGAAACACTCCTTCTTCTCTTGAATAGCCCTTTGCACCTCGTCATTCCACCACCAAGAGTCCTTCGCTTCCTGCTTGCCTCCCCTACTCACACCAAGAACTTCTGCAGCCACCTTCCGTACACATGTTGCCATCTTTAGCCACATGTCATCTGCATCTTCTCCTTCTTCCCAAGGCCCCTCACCTAGCATCCTATCCCTAAACGTGTGTGCCGCTTCCCCTTTAAGCTTCCACCACTTCGTTCTCACGGACTTGGCACATTTGTTCCGGTAGACACGTGTTCGGAATCGAAAATCCGCCACCACCAGCTTTATATTTAGAGTAGAAATTTTAGCATGAAATTGTGCACATCTTTTTCATAATTAGCTTCCCTTATATATCGATAGATATAGGTATGATTTTGCAATCAAGCAACAACTAGTCTTATTATTTAACATGAGTTTTTAAGTATGTTGGTTTCATTGGTATTGTTTCCTATATTTGTATCTGAAATACAGATAAAACCTCGCTATGCGTTTAAACGGAAGGAAGTTCGTCCTGGGGAATTCCAGGTATGTCTTACTGGACATGAAATAATCAAGTATTTATTTATTATTACTATTAAGAATGCGACAGATCACCGGGTGGTTGTTCTATGATTACTAGCAATAACATATCATTGATTTTATTGTTTACAACTTGCTACTGAATGTGGAATGCTCAAGCAAAATCATTGTTTAACAATCACTATGTTTACGAAATCCTTTGGTTTAGAGTACATTGGCACTTCAAATGTTAAACATTACTACCATCCATTGGATATCAAATAGAAATGAACACCTTCATCCATCTCAATTTAAACTCAAGTGCAGCTTCATCTTCAGCTTATTGACATTATTCTTTTTATAAGCATGTCGTATCTACTTCTTCATCTTGGTTCATGTTTCTGTTTTGTCTTAAATTCTTATAGTAACTAATTTTCGACAGATTATGGACCTGGACTTTCCTAACACGACAGAGAGTTACAAACTCTATTCGCAGGTCAATAATTGATCAGTAAGTAATATTTGGTTGGCTTAATTTTTGTTACTAATTTTCTCCTCTTCTTTTTCATCACAGCGGGTGATTGTTGGTGATATTAAAGAATGTGTTTGTCGAGCACCAGACACTCCATATGATGGTTTGTGCTTTTTTTTATATAAATTAATAATTCTGATTTATTGAGTTCTAATGTAAGATTTTGACCCAAATGTTTTAAGTATTTTATCACAACAATATGGTACAGCAAACAATGTACTTATTTTATCAGTTTCTCTCCATACTCTCCATGGTTAACTGAGCATAATATCTATTTCCATGTAAATTTGGACGTTTTTCTTTAATGTAATTTTCTTGTGAACTGTCTTGTTTCTTATGCGTTTTCTTCGCCAGTGTTGCCATATTGATGAAAAAACTAATGGATTTTAGATATTGTCATTTGATTTAGTCTTCCTGAACAAACTCTATGTATCCCATTATACTATTGTTTCTTCTGTTTAAGTTTTCTACAGTTTGCAACTCTAGAGGATCAATGATATCGTTATGCACGGTTGTTGGCGTTCGTAGTAGTAACTTGCACTAAGTGAAAATCTTGTTAAGGAACTTACTGCCTGTTGTTTTAGCTAGATTTATTTATGTTTTTTCTTTTTAACCTAGGTAATTTGGTATTTGGTTGATTGTATACTGTCAGAGAGGAAAGGAAGAAAGTAATATGTAGGAGAAGAATGTTTCTTAATGAGCAGCACAAAACCTATATGTGGTGGAAGTAAACAATCAAGAATACAATAATGCCTACTGATATTCATTTAGTTAAATTTACTATCCAATTTTGTTGCGTGGAGTTATTTATAAGGAACTATCGTTTGATTGTGTAGCTTAACTGATGCTTTGGTTCTCTCTGTCCTGATATTTCCTTTTCTGGGAGCAGATGTGTCTTATTCAAACATCCCAATGACCTCTTATGAGCTTCCTGATGGACAGTAAGTGTTTTTGTGAAGTTATTTTTTCGTTCCTTTCATCACTATTTGAAAGATTAAGCATTTGAGTAGATTCAGAGCATCGTGTATCCATTCATATAATATTTCATTCAGCCAGTATGGTTCATGTATATCCCAACTACGATCCTATGGGTTGGGAAGATGTACCTTTTTTTTATTCTTTTTTCTTTTGGCTGTGGCTGACTGTAACTTTGAGGGTGAGGGAATATCATCGTTATTTCTTTTGCATTAATCATACTTAGTATTTATTAGTTATATTGAAAAATATGGAGATAAAGAAGTCTTGTGAGAGGGAATATAATTCCTAGATTAAGACTATTATCTGCATAATAAAGTTGAAGTCACAATTATAAACTACTGTTCTCCAGCGTGAATGAAATTTTATGAATCTTGAGTATTGCTGCAACTCATGCCAAACACGGATGCTTTCTAATTTGCTTTTTTATTTTTTTTCAAATGTAAAAAAATGATGTAGGACAATTGAAATTGGTGCTGACAGATTCAAGATTCCTGATGTATTATTTAATCCGTCTCTAGTACAGGTCGGTTTCTTCTTGTTAATCCGAGTAACTATAGCACTTTGACTCATATTTTGATGTATTTTTATAACACTAATAATGTAATATCTGTAAATACTCTTCATATATGTTGGCTGCTGGAGGTTTCATTTGCAACGCTTCTCATTTTTTTGACTTATGAGTTGTTTCTCAATATATTGTCATTGTTTGGTGGTTACCATGCTACTGTGCATAATGGCCCAAAAATTTATTATGATTTCCAGTTTTAATCCCCTGACGTTCATGAAATATATTGGATTTGAAACCCATTTTCTGGAGAATGGCTTATTGTCAGCTTTCTAACAAATAAACCATGAAATGCTTTTGAATAATGAAATTACGATTTTATATTATTAGAGCATCCAGCATCAGCAATGGAGCTCATACTTGTGAGCTTTTTCCATTGTGGTAAAACACAAAAAAGCTTCTTGGGAAATGCGTCTTTGTTTAAAAGAGCTTCGTTCATGTTCCTTGGGACCCATCAGCTATTGCTGTGTACATATAATATGCCTAATTTGTTCATATGTGGTTTAGTTGTGGGACCAGTGAAGAACTTTATGAAGTTTCTCATAGTGTAGACAGCTTTGAGGTTTTTACTTTCATGTTGCAATGAGGTGGCTTGTAAGGATCATAAAAAATGTTGGAGAAAAAAAGGCCATAATTTTGGATATTTTTATCCATCCTAATTTGAGGGACACTGTACCTTTGATGCACTTCACATTGCTTTCTTCTTTGTGCTAATTTGTTCGCCCCATGTTCATGATGAATATGTACTATGGAGGTTATCTTTGCTAGCTTACGTGGTATTCTTTTTCTCTTTTACAGTATGCTCTTTGCTAAACTTATAGCTGCTTAACAATTACTTCACAAAAAACTTAATTTTCTATGTTTGTGTCTACTTTAAAACTTAATTTTCTATGTTTGTGTCTACTTTGTTTTTCATGTCAGACTATACCTGGTATGGAAAGTTCTGCAGAGATTGCTTCATCTGCTAGTGGTCTGCCACAAATGGTTAACAGATTCTCTCTAAATATGCCTTTTGTTTCGGTCGAAGCTATTTCTTGGTTTTCCCATTGATTCTATCATGAATTAACTGTCTTAAATTTTCTAGGTCGTTGAGAGCATAAACAAGTGTGATGTTGACATCCGAAGAGAACTCTATAGCAGTATACTGGTAGGATAATTTCTCCTGCGTATAATATGTTTGTGCGTATTTGGACATTCTCCTAATATGTGCATAGCATGACCTGCTTATGATACCGAGTTAAACCTGCTTATGATCTGCTTATGATACCGAGTTAAACCTGAGGGGTATACAATATTAGATTGAGAAGATTCAGTACAAATTAGGATAATTAAATTATCCTAATTTGTCGGGCGGAGCAAACTAAATATAGCTACACTTTTAACGCAATGGTAAATATCCAAGAGGGAGTGTTATAATTTATGAATATTCATTGCACAACAGTATGCTTGAGCAGTTTTTAAAAACTATGAATAGAGGAAGTCAATGTAAAGGAAGTTGTTTTTGTGGTTTCTTATATGTTCTAATGTTCCCTTCTATGCTCCTAAAACCAATTGGTCATAGGAGCATCTCAGTAGGCTTATAAATTAAGTTACCTCTATTTTATGTGGGATGACTCACACTCGATGTATTCTAACATAATTGAATTACCATGGGTACCCTGTTCTACTTTTTAGCAGGTTTATTAAATGATTTATTAATTAAGCATCAAAGGTCTTTTGCTGTTCCCCTTTTCCTGAAATCTGGGATGCACTAACTTCTATAAAACTTAATTTTCTCAGTTTCTGATATTTTATGGTTTTGTGTTGTGCAGCTTTCAGGTGGGACAGCATCAATGCAACAATTGAAAGAACGTCTTGAGAAAGATTTACTGGAGGTTCTGTTCACCATATATGGCTTTGTTTGAAGAGTCACTTTTTATGTCCATTTGTCTTTCCTTCCTCACTGTGTTTGGTCCTAAAGGGGAAAAAATATGTTTTAAACATGTTGGTTTCATTGTTGCATAAATTTTTAGCTATTTCCTCGTAAATGCCTGTACTAACAGTTTCATTCACAAAATCACCCCTGCTCATATGAAAAAGAATATCGTCTATTGACCTTCGACTTTTCTTGGTAAATAATAAGTTGTTTGTACTCCCCGCCTGCACCGATCCTTTGCATTCTTGAAGCCCAAGCTTTGATGGGCATTGGTTTAAATTATCTTTCTGTTTGAAGATAAAATTTTCGTGATATAATGAACTTATTTCTATCATTTTCATCCGTGCATTCTAGTTGGAGTTTAATTATCCTTCTGCTTGAAGATAAAATGTCATGACTGGAAAGTAGTATAAATGAACTTATTTCTACTGTTTGCATCCGTGCATTCTAGTTGGAGTTTAAATTATCCTTCTGTTCGAAGATAAAATGTCGTGACTATAGAGTAGTAGTATAAATGAACTTATTTCTACTGTTTGCATCCGTGCATTCTAGTTGGCATTTATGAGAATTTTCTGCTTGAATGAATTTATTTCTGTTATTTCGTTAGCTGGAATTTATGAGTTTGGAACCTGACATTTTTTTTATATTGCGCTTCTAGGAATCTCCTCAAGCAGCAAGGGTCAAAGTGTTGGCGAGTGGAAATGCTACAGAAAGAAGATTCAGGTTTTTATTTTCCTTTCTTGCCTCCTTTCTCAGTTTTCAAGAATATACGTGCAGCTTCACTACTTCTTCGACAATCTGTTTAATACTTAAGGTGACAGAATTGTGAATATGCCAGTCTGTTAGGCCTTCTGAGTGAAGGCTTGATAATGAATTAATGATCAATATTTAACTCATCTCATGTCTCTGAAGAGTTTTTAGTGCCACGAAATCTTCTATAGCTAGTTAAACCCGTGTTTTTTGGTTATTATAACATAGTGTTTGGATCGGTGGGAGTATATTGGCATCGCTCGGCTCCTTTCAGCAAATGTGGTTCTCAAAGTCTGAGTAAGTACCTTTTTTTTTCTTTTTCATTTTTTTTTGGTGTTTTTGCTGCTAGGGTTTGGTCTTACTGATATCAATCTTTTCGACAAGTACAGGTATGAAGAGCATGGGGCATCTTACATTCAGCGTAAATGCCCTTAGGCAAACTCATTTATTGGCATAGCTCTCAAGGGACACAAGCTGGTGGTTTCAATTGTGACTGTGTGTTTAGGTTATTTTGGATTATTTGACTTGCTTTAGTTAGCCCCTTTTCATTTATGTGTGTCAAGAAAGATAGTGAACTGCAAATTCCCCCATTTGTTGTGTAGTGGTATTACTGGAAATATTCGTGCACTGTGAAGTACAAACTCAAGTCAGTCATTCGATTGGTATCTATGATCCATCTTTAAGATCCTGACTTTGTTTGGGAAAAATGAAGCTTGTAACCTAGGAAGTTCGATACATTATTTAACTCAAATGGACATTTTATGCTTTACAAAAGTGTTATTTTTTGGGAGGGTACCAGCTTGGGTAATGAGAAAAAAGTGATTAGAAGTAAAGTGCTGCTTGCTAAGGATGTTTATGGGTTTTGAGTTTGATAAATCTTTAGAATCGTACCAAAATTTAGATATCATCAAAATTTGATCTTTGGAAATGTACTAAAAATCAATATCGTTCGGTTTAGAGATTCTTATTTGGTATTTAGGACCAGAGTAACAATTCAATTGGGTTTGGAGCGGTGAAGATTTTTAATTATTTTTTAATTTTTTTAATGACTTTGTTTATATTTATATTCTTTTAAAAAAAAACTAACATTCATCAATATTTAACTATAAAGATTTAATTTTAAAATAAACTTTGGAAAAGATAGAAGTATATATATATATATATAAACATTTCTTACTTTTCATACATTTTAATTATAGGATGGAATAATACTATGAAATGTTTCAAGAAATATTACATAAATAAAATAGGGGGATTAAATAGGTTATGGCTCGCAAATAAAGATGTAGGCATGAAACTGAAAACGAATAATGCAAAGAAAAATTGTTGATCCGTAGTGATAGATCGATGTATATGTGTGTCTGTGAAGAATTGGTTGAACATTAGTGTTTATGATATCCGATTGTTCGGAAGGCATGGTGTTGAAATATATTCATGTAACTTGTGTTTGAAAGTATATACATTTAAAGAAAAAAAAATGTTACAAGTACATAATAAAGTACATAATACTCAGATGGAGTGGGGTCTACTTGAATTTTTTTTTTTTTTTTTGTCCCTGTATCACTCCATGCGAGTATTATGTATATCTCTACGTACAATATTATGTACCTATAACATTTCTCTAAAAAAAAATGTATTATGATGAAGTTCGTCTAACAACCATCTTGTCATAATATAAAAAGGTAAAATATACATTAGTATCATTCTAAATCGCATAATGATTTTATGTTCTTTGTTCATATCAATTTTATTAGTAATATTCGTATTCATATCAAATTTATATTGTACACGAGGATCCAAATTGCTCAAGTCAATACTATTACCTCAATTTTATTCATCGAGTTTGTTTATATATCATGTACAATTCCACAATATTTACATAAAAATATATTATATGGTTTTTCCAATTATCTTATATTAGATATGAATTATTATTACGTCATCTCATCTCTTATTGACATATAATAGTATCACTAGGCATTGGAGATGATTGAATAATAGAAATTGAGCTTTATGCGTAAAAAAATAATTATTTGCCAGTCTACATTTGATTATGGCACTCAACAGTCAACCGTCAACAGCTTTCAAAGGTCAACTACATTCAATTTTGAACTAAAACATATTCGAAATAATTATATTTTTTTATAGTGAGTTGTGAATAAATGACCCCACGAAATATTTTGCACAATTGTTTGGTTTAAACTTTAAACAATTGTTTGGTTTAAACTTTAAACTTTAAATGACCCCACGAAATATTCTATGTATAAATTCACAATTTATATTATTAATATTAATAATATATGGGTATATTAATTAATTTGACACATGCTATGTACTCTTCGAAAGGAAGCCACCGCTCACAAGCCGCCGCCCTGAAAATTGGCCGAGCTCGTCGGCGTCCACGGCGGAGAAGACAACAAACCGCCTGAAAATGGATCCCCACTGCCAACACCGCCGCCGTTTGAGTGGTCGTCCGAATCACGAAACCCTCTGAACACATCGTCGTCGTTCGCTCCCAACGGGCTCGTCATAAAAATATCCACGTCATCCCCGCCGGCGGCAGCCTCCTTCTTGCCGGCCACGTCATCATTCTCCGGATCGGTCGGCGAGAAGCCCTCCGGAGACGAGGAAGAGGAGGAGATATTAATTAGGCCCTTGTGCTGGTGGCCGCCGCCGCGCAGGAGCCGGTAGTCGCCTTTTGCGGCGGCGGAAGGCGGAGACGACAGCTTACTGCGGGTGCTTCCGGCGAGGGAGCTCCGGTGAGACGGCCGTGGGTGGGTGTGTTCGCCGGTGTAAGAGACGAGGAAGATTCCGGGGTCGTTTGGGCTGCGCTCCACCTGTTTTCGGGCGGCGCACCCTTTTGATGTACTGCACCGGTAGTAGTTTCTGGTTTTCAAAAGGGTAAAATGGGGATAAAGAAAAAAGGAAAAAAAAAAAGAAGAAGAAAACTTGTTATAATTTTGTGGATTTCATTCTTCTTATAATTAGATAAAAAAAGGTGGAAAAAGATTAGGCTTTGCATGATAATATCATTTTGAAGAGATTAAAAAGAGAGAAAAAAAAATAATAAATGTTATGTGTGATTGGATTAGTATGAAATTTGGTAATTTTATATTTTTTTTGGTTCAATATTTGAAATAAAATATTTTTCCACGATATTTTAACCCCATTATTATAGTCGTGTGTAGCAATACTGGCTCCAATAAAAATATACAATAAACTAAATAACAAATTCTAAAAAAATTAAATAGAATTAAATTTTAGAAGAAACCAATTATAATAAGACACGACTCCCAAATTAAATAGTCAAAGATAAAGTATACACGAGAAATTATTGTGTCTGAATTTGACCCAAAAATGCCAATAAAAAAATATAAACAAAAATAAAAACATAGATATAGTTGAATCTATTAATTAATGCAATGAATAAGTAAAAGGTCAACCTTGGAAATGGAGAACCTTTGATCGGCTTCTGACCGTATTTTCTCCATGCCCATGAGTCAGCCGAGAGTTCCTCTTGCGTCATTTGGCGAACTACTTTCATTTGCTGGTTTTTCCTGTCAAAATAATCATATCCAAATTAACACCATATTATATTACAACATCAATTATCAAATCATTTTATGTCAAAATAGTTCGTGTAAAACTATATTCCAAAACAATTCCACTTTTTTTTTAGTCCTATTTCACTTTCTAAATTGAAATATAGTCACAATTTTTATTTCGATGAAACGTAGTCATTCAGTTTATAAACCATTATGAAGTCTCAAATTTCTCATAAACGATTTCTAATAGTAATAGTAATCGTGTCATTTCACAATACAAAATGACAATATTTGTTACTTCCACAAAAAAGTGGATATATTTTATTTACAAATTGATAAGGCTATTTACCAATATAATTATAGAAAATTCATGGTTTGCAACCTCGAATGCACATATATGATCAAAAAGTACTCAGAATTTGCAAATTATGATTTTTCGTAAATTATTGTTGCATTTTATTAAAAACAAAAAAATCGCGTTGCAAAGGCAAAAAACAAGAATTTTTCAGTTGCATTTTATCAAAAACTCATGATCTGCAAGCTCACGTTTATAAAAAATAAAATTGTGCTGCAAAAGCAAAAAGAACGTGTACTCAGAAGGTAAATTTTCTTTCCTATTTTTTTTTTTTTCACCAATACAAAATGCAAGAACAAGAAGAAAAATACCTTCTCCGTTGCCGTATGGGCTGAGGATTAATGTTCGTAGCCAGAAAATTATTATCTGATGAGCCGCCAATAAATCCCGGCTTACCGAACTGTATACTTTCATGAATCTGCACATTATTCATCACGAGTGGCGGCAATCTTATCTGCATAACCTCTTGACTCGGCTGAAAAACATTATAGGCGGCCGGAGCCGACAACCCACTGGCGGCGCCGGCGGAAGACGCCGGCGGTGGAGGAGTGCCGCCGCATAGTTCTCGGTAGGCTTCTTGCAAGCCCTGGAAAGCGTCGTTGGCCACCACTTCACCCGCGAGAAAGTCGAACGAGACTTGGTCGGGCGCCGGCAGGGAAAAGCTCGGAAAATCGGGGCCGCCGCCGCCGGCGTCGACGGCAGCGGAGGTGGTGGGGGTGGTGGCCGCGGCCGAGGCGTAGCCCCTCACCACCGCGTGGAGGTCCCAGTCATCATCGTCCATTTTATTAAAAAAACAAAAGAAAGAAAGATAAAAAAATGAGTGTGTGTGTGAGAGAGAGAGAGAAAGAGAAGTTATGGCTAAAATGTTGCCACAAATAAGCTTATTTTTTTTATTATGGTTTTTGTCATTTTTGAAAGGAGGCGCTGACATTTTTTAAAAAAAAATAGATGACAAGTAAATATATACATATATTTTCTTTTATGAACAAGAGTTCTACTTTGCATATATATGAAGAATTTAGGGAGAGAGAGAGAGGGCACAATATTAAATTTGTTTGGTATTATTTTTGCCAGTTATCATTTTGGTGCAAAGATTTGNTTGGCTCCAATAGTTTCATCACAACTGACATATATAGTGGACAATAATATAAGAATACTAAATACTATGGCCACCTTTAAGAAAAGGTTTGCTAAGGTTAATATGGAAAGACCAAAATTGGACAACTTTAGTTGTAGTGAAATTAAATATTACTATATGGAGATGTTCTGATTATTTTTTGAATAATTTTCAATCTTTGTAGTTAGTGTAAAAGTTTGTATGCTAATTTATGAAGGAAGTTGATTAATTAGAAAGAAAATATACTGAAAATTATACTTTGTACCATAACAACATTACATATGAAAATGCTCACATGTCCACCATCTACATATTAAGATATATGTCCACCACCTACGTATCAGGATCTCGTAATTTCTAAACGTTATATTCATTATACATAATAGTTTTCTAATTTTATGCTACATTAGCTGATGTCCACTATAAGTAGGAGAGTTAGACTTATTCTAAATCTGATACAATAATATGTAATATTCTCCATTTCGGCATAAAATTTCAAAATTAAAGAAAATATTGTAAGACGTTGTTATTATTATTATTATTATTATTATTATTATTATTATTATTATTATTATTAAGTAGGTGGATAGGCATAATTGAATGGGCTAGTATACTGGGAATCTTATATAATGGGCAGTGCTGGGAAATTTATGAGTATTGGAAATTCGAAGTTAGATTCAGTATCTCTCTTTGTTGTTGCATTGATCTGGTGAAAAGTCATTAATGTATATTTCTATCATAGTGTTGACAGATATTTTCATAGTTCAAAAGATAACACTTATATTTAATTATATATCAAGCCAGTCATGTGATTTTGGTGGTAATTATTTATGTTGTCATAATCTAGCTAGCACTATAAAATTAATCACTTTCGCTGATTACTCAAGAAAATTAGGTGTCTTCCTCAATATCTCAATTATAGGACAGGTGATCAACATGGGTGAAAATTCCTAATAAAATAAAATAAAAAGTTAGGGTGAGATAAGTCCATTTTTTTTTTTTTTTTTCTTTTTTCCCTCAATAGTACTTATGTATGAAGTGTCCGCCCCCATTATTAAGACTTATCATATCTCAATTCAAAATAGCCATGTGATGTTTTATCTTTTATGCATAATATATTACATGATGAAAAAGAAAATTATCATGAAGCTTTTTATATGCATGTATTACATGAAATATAAGTACTATATTATAGTTTGGTCTATGTACTTTGAATATAGATGTACATGGTAATGCCATATTGTAACAAATAAAATTTAGCGGATAAAAGAATAGGGCAAAAAGTACTGGTCAGACAAGAAAAAATAAATAATTAAGGAAAAGATAATTAATTAATCTTGTTAAATTTTTGTTTTCATTTCATTGAATAACGTGTGTACATAGTGATGTCATATTTATTTATACATGTATCACTTAATAAGTCGAAATGAAAACGAGTTGTTCCGCATAAAACCAGACACAATATTCTTCTTCCTTCTTCCATAAACTGAGCTCATAGAATGAAAAGATAAGAGAACCTATAGTAATGTGGTCAGAAATTCATAATAGAGTTGTAGTTCTCCTTCTTCCATAAACTGAGCTCTAGAATGAAGAGATAAGAGAACCTATAGGAATGTGGTCGGAAATTCATAATAGAGTTTGACTACAACGACCAGATCGATTATCTTCACGCACAAGATACTAGATTACTTAGTAAAAAAATTGAAAATCATCCTAAATGTAACACAGAATATCTTATCCCCTATTATGATAAATTAATATCATAAAATTTATCAACTCTACACATAATACCTATTTACCAAAAATTGCAGCATTATCTACATTAATACATTCTTGCGAAAAAAGAAAAAA